TTTTTTTTTAATCAGTAAGATTTGATATTAAATAATTTGCGTATTTGCCATAAATAAATATTTTTGATTAGAAAAAGACGCTCTGTAAATATTAAACCAATTTGACGATTTTTTAAAGATTGATGTCATTACATTGCCTTGTTAGTTACATTTTGTAAAATCGTGGCAATACTGAGGTTATCTCCCTTATCACAATATAGCATTGCGTATACTAGTATTAAACTTTATCCCATATGCAACCATGAAAGTCAAAGCTAACGTTGAATAAAATTAGTACTAGTACACAAATACAAAATAAAAAATGGAGAAAAGTATATACCCAGTTTTGTGGCTGAGATACGAACGACTACAGGTGACTGTACTGCATAAATAACCACGGGTCGTTGCTTTACTAGGCAAAAGAGTTTGGTAACTAGTAATATGAGAACAAAAATCTGTATTTAATTGGTTTAAATCTAGAATTGTGTTACGTTTTGTAGGAGTAATATTACCAGAAGCATGTCTACTTAGTGCTTAGTCAAGAACAGAGCTACGGACCAGAGATTACTTCATTTCAACATGAAAAAATGGATGTGTTTTATTCACAATTAACTTATTAATCATATAAGTTTATAAGAATTACTTAAATAAGAAAAAAAAATAATACGTAAAGAATTACTAGTAATTGTAATTCCAAATGAATATGTTTTTGAATGAGTGCAAAGCGCACATTAAGTCTGGAGATTGCATATGCAGGTTGATTATTTCTTTAATGAAGGTTGCGTTCGCTTGTTCATGAATCACTGTCATCCTCGCGCTATCTGGATTCATTTCTCGCAAATCTGGATACTCAAAGAGAAATGAACGTCATGATTATCTTTTAATGGGGTTGCATTTGAATTGTAGGGCTTCCAATGTCGTACAATGTGTTATTTTTGTTGTTGTTGCGGGCATATGGAACGAAGTATTCACTTTACGATATTAGTTCAGTTTAGCGTGTTTTGTGATTAGTCGAATTCGGTTCAAGTGGATGAGTTTGACGGCATGACTTCTGGTATACGAAAGTACTTGAAGATGTAGAAAAACATTTCTCTAGAGTTTGTCGGCAGTAGAGCCTTATAAAGCCAATAAGATGAGTTTGACCCACTTTTTATGGTTGAATAACCTTTCATCTACCTAACAGAAAAAGGAAAAATCGCTTTCATTACGTTCGTGGTTGATTGATCTGTTGTTCTGTCCAACATTTTTGGTGATTCATGTTATCCTATTTATATTATATATTGCATCCAGTATCAACTATCTATGGTCCCTCAACCTGCCGATGCTTATGTTTGGCATTGAACAATATCATGCTTTTGTAAATGGCATGCTTATGTTTTCATGCTAAATCTTTTTGAGGTACGTGTTCTACCCAGTTGATATTTTAGTCATTGAAATTTATAACATTGTCTTTTCGTTAGTTGACTAGCTTTCAGTAAAGGCGAATATTCTATAATGGCTACTTTTAAGTTGATTTGGGATTTTCTTATTAGTACATATTTTAAATTGATTTTGTTGTACTGTTACAAGGGTCAATTAGGTTAAGAGAAGGGTTGAGCACTTACACACTGTTATACAATCATGCTTTACTCCGCCGTAGTCCATTGGTTACCGTCTGCCATAGCTGTTTTTTCGTTTAATGTAATTATTTACTTAAATCAGGTCGTTAGTTGTAGTTTTTACTTTTGAATTGTTACAGTATAACTTTTGCCAAGTATATTCAGGGACAATAGATAGGTTACCATACTGTCATGGTGGTTTCTCCTCATATTACATGTATACATATGGTCATCTAAAGTCACAAATTAAAATGGATAAAGTGAAATAAGTCATATTGGTCATAACACATGTCTAACCAACTGACTTAAGCGACAAAGTCATATAGTCAAAACCAGTTAAGAAAACATTTAAAAAGAAATCGTCTTTAAAATTTAGAAATTTAAACAAGTCTAAATATATATATAGTTTTTAGTATGACGATAAATTTTCACTTCTGTACTCGTACTGTGAACAACAAATTAATTATTTTGTAAAAAATAATTCCGTACTCCTAACAACAAAATTATTATATTTAAATTTACCTGTGTACGTTACTTTATTTAACGCCGTTTTGTCCGAGGTTAAAGTTGTCTTTTGGACATTGTTCTGCATCTTTTTTTTTTATTAATATTGTATATTTATATTGTGTAATCGATCAAACTTATTCGTTCAGTGTATGTTTGCTTTTTTTGTTTATATGTCTTTTTGGTCGAATTAAGCCATTTCAATTGATATTTTATAGTGTGTCTTTTTATTTTGTAATGTTACACTACTGTTTCAGGTTATGGTGAAGGTTGGCGCCTGTTAAAACGTTTAAACCCGTTGCATTTGTATGCACCTGTCCTAAGTCAGGAGCCTGTTGTTCAGTGGTTGTCGTTTGTTGGTGTGGTTCATAAGTGTTTATCGTTTCTCGTTTTTTTAATATAGATTAGACCGTTGGTTTTCCTGTTTGAATTGTTTTACACTCGTCATTTTGGGGGCCTTTTATAGCTTGCTGTTCAGTGTGAGCCAAGGCTCTGTGTTGAAGACTGTACTTTAACCTATAATTCTTTACTTTTTACACATTGTGACTTGGACGGAAAGTTGTCTCACTGGCACTCATACCACATCTTCTTATTTATATATAAATAAGATTTTCGAACAACAGGGATATATAATGATGACAAATTGAGGTAAAATGTTTAACAAATAAATTTTAATATTTCATATAAAACTGAGTGGATCTCCTATGCATGTAATTGTAGAAATTCATTCATTATTGTATAAAGGTTTTAGTATAAAAAGATATAGTTAGAGAGTCTATGTTATGTAACTTTTTATATATAAGTCTTTGATGTGAAATTTTTTCTATGACTTTAGACTTGACACTTAGAATATAAATAAGGTTATACAGCTTGAATTCTTAGAAGTATTTCCTTGAGCAAATATGTCTTATTCTTTTCTATTGTCCACATAGAATTCTTTCTAACCTATTAATCGGATTTCTTCTAATGGTTTTAAAAACAAAGTATTATATTATCTCAAATAGTACCCCCAAAATTATGTATAAATGTAAATTAGGGAAAAAGCATTAACCAAAAGAAACTGTTCTCATAAAAATAATTTATTCTTAAGGATGTACTAAGTTGAAATCAAAATAAATGGGGAATGTGTCCATGGGACACAGATGATGCCCCCGCTTTCATATAACATTATAAAGGGATGTTACTCAAGAACTGTAAAAGTGACGCTACCCAAATGTTAACTTGATCTGAGTTTTGTGGTAATAAGCATTGTTTATTAGTTTTATAACAATTAGTTGGGGCAAACTTAAGTTAGAGAACAGAAACGAAAAATTCAGCAATTTTTCCATTTGTAAAGGTGCATAACTCTAGAACGGTAAACGTGACACCACCAAAATTCGAACTTGATTTGTGTTTTGTGGTAATTAGCACTGTGCATAAGTTTCATTACATTTAATTGAGGCAAACTAATTTAAAAGTTAGAGAACGGAAACGAAAAATTCAGCAATTTTTCCATTTGTAGAGGGGCATAACTCTAGAACGTTAAAAGTGACGCCACTAAAATTCAAACTTAATCTGTGTTGTGTGCTGAATAGCATTCTGTATAAGTTTCATATTATTTGGTTGAGGCAAACTAAAGTTAGAGGACGAAAACAAAAAATTCAGCAATTTTTCCATTTGTAAAGGGGCATAACTCTAGAACGTTAAAAGTGACACCACAAAAATTCAAACTTGATCTGTGTTTTGTTGTAATAAGCATTGTGTATAAGTTTCATGACATTTGGTTGAGGCAAACTAAAGTTAGAGAACGGAAACCAATTTTGGGACGTACGGACGGACTTACGTACGGACGTACAGACGGATAAGGGTAAAACTTAATGCCCCCTCCACTACGGTGGGTGCATAAAAATCTAGAATTTAAAATTGATACTATAAGTCAGAAGAACATTAGTTATGGAACAAAGTAAGCTAAACATATTGATAGGTAATGGAACTGCCTTTCGAGATATTTAAGTTTTAAAAATTGGAGGGAAAAGGCTGACTCGGACTTAATTCATATTTGCATTGGTTTTATTTGGGCCTCAAATCGAAAGAAAAGAAGTCTAGAATCTGCTTAAATTTTGGTTAATAACCTTTTATGAGCTATTGAAGTCTTATCTGAAAAGAAAAACAGGTGTTATGGGGCAAATTATTAACCAAGGGGTCCGAACATCTGACAATAATTCCTAATCCTCACCTAAGTACATCCTTAAACGCATTTTATTGGTGAATAAAACGAGTCCAATCAGCACGTGTCCTAAGGGTTTGAAATAGGAAACCCTAACAGGCCAAACATCACACTTATGATTGGACTCTAAAAATAATTATATCGACATCTTTGTTTTATTCACCAGGCTTGTAAACTAATGATTTTGGTTTAATGAAAAATATAACTTTTCTAAATAAAGATTTCAATGTAACAATTTTATAATAGATAACTTTCTTTACAGAAGTTACCGTAAATATCATGATTAATTATTTCAATGAATTAATAAAGTATTTCGATAATCTTAAAGTTAAAGTTCATTTTCAGATTCAAACTCTTCTTTGATAATCATGTATTTTATATTGATCACACTTATGGTTGGACTCTAAATAAAAAATATATCGACATCTTTGTTTTATTCACCAGGAGGCCTCGAAAAAACGCAAACGACAGTCCGCCAAATTGTCGTAGTTAAAACAGTTTACAGAGAAATGTAAACCTCCAGATCGACAACTTAACTTTCAGCGGGAGAAGGGAGGCAACTGCCTTAGTCTGCCCTTCCCCTCTTTCCCGCATAACACATACATGTATCGCATTATTTTGTATATGTATGTACTTGTATATTACGTAGAAAATGTGATTTTAATATATGTCACAAAATTTGGATACATTTATTAAGATAGTACAAACTAAGATTTTTCAATAAAATGTTTTATTTAACAAATGTTATCATATAAACATAATAAATAAATAAAAATGGTGGTTTTTAAATTGGACAGCCACATGTGTTTTACTGAATATTGATCGTAGATGGAATACTGTTAGTTTGTGTGAAACTCTCTCTCTCTCTTCCTCTTGTTTTCCTTTCTTCACTAGCTTATATACTCTAGACAAATTCTTTTTCTCATCCCAATCTCGTTCTCCCTCTCTTTATCTCTCTCTCTCTAGTAGTTGTACAACCTTCTCATCACACACATACACACAAGTTGCAATGTACACACACACGAACATATATCTTTTAGACACATCCAGAATTTACACAACAAAACAATACAAAATCTTTAAAATAAAAAAAAAACATGTATAATAACCGTTACAGTATAATGTGTGTTTGAATGGTATGATTAAGATTATTACATCATGATCATGCTGATGCAACGATATCAAAAACTCGGACGGGGTATATATTACTCGTTTACAATTCTAATTTTAAATAACAGATTCAGATTCAGATTCAATATTTTGTTGTAGTCTCACCACATACAAACATAAAATAACAACACATAATAATTTATCTTTCTTCTGATTGCTCAGTCATCGCCGTATACAAGACTATGGTGTTAACAGCCAATCATTGATTATCCAACATACAAAAAAATTAAAATTTAAACGTAGGCGGAATTAGGGGAATTAGGGGTGGCCCGGAGGGGTTATATATATCATTTGGTTACTGCATAGACTTTTAACATGTCCAACTTTTAATGTTGCCTTAGTGTCCCCATCTGTATTTCAAAATCCAGGATCAACATCTATAAACAATTTGGATTCAGTGTCATTGCACAATCAACCCCAATCATGAACTGTGTAGCAAACTGTCATGTATATACCACAGTAGCTGTTAGCAATCTTGTGGGTGTCCGCCGATAGCTATGTTACTCTGGTATTTTATGATTTTGTAAAAATTGAAAAGTTGCAGTGACTGTATTTTACATGTTAGATTAAAGTTTTTTATCATTTTCTTTTTCTTTTTTTGTTTTGTTTTAGTTTTAAATTTGACTCCACCATGTAAAGGAAGTTCGCTACTCAGTTTCAAAATAACAAGCTTTTCATAACACTAGTATATATTGATAGGGGATTAATAAAGGAACAAAAAGAGCAAAAATAAAATATAGGTCAACGTGCTTGTTTTCGAGATATTAGCCATTGAAATTTTGGCGGGAAAATATTCTCTCTTGATTTTTCATAGCTTTATCATTGACAAATTAAGTTCTCAAAAACTATTAAAAAATAATTAAGATTTTATAAGACTTTTACAGATGGCTTATAATTATGCATGTAAAAGATTTTTATAAAGAAAAATGGGGTCAATGGGCAAAATTTTTTAAGGCATTCAAATAGATAAAACCAGAGGATTCCGAAAATCTGACAAAAAATCCAAAACATGACAAGCGAACTTCCTTAAGGAATTGTCGGGCAAAATCTGTCATTCTGCATACAAAATATAATGAGAACATACCGAAGTTATACATGATGACAGTTTAATTACACTCACAAATAAAGCAGTTTATAAAATTGTTTAAAAAATGCATTTTTATCAAAAAATATATCCGCAAAAGGCACTTTTATAGTTTTTGAACAACCTTGGTTTTTTTGCATATCGTATTGTTAAACATATAGAAGCACCAACTCTGTCAGTAATTTTCTTCTGTTCATCAATTTCCAGTCTTTCATGGCGGCAGTTGAACTGCAACCCTTCGTTATAATGCCTCCATTTTTAATTGGTGGTCTCTTAGAACATTCCCTTGTATATGCCGTACCCTATCGTTCCTCCAAGGGCCATGAACAGCACTATTATTGATGCAAAAAGTATTCCCAGTAATATTTTTCTGTGTTTGTGCTTTTTCAGGTCATTTCGAAAAGGTATTGTCTGAAAAAGAAGAAAAGAAACAATATGATTAGTACCAATCTTCTGATTCATTCTGCTATAAATACTTATGTATAAAAGGAGGTGTGTGGTATACGTCAATTATAAATAAGATTTGTAGTAGAAATCAATGAGATGTGGGGTATAGGTCAACGAGATGTGTGGTAAAGGTCAATGAGATGTGGGGTATAGGTCAATGAGATGTGTGGTATAGGTCAATGAGATGTGTGGTATAGATCAATGAGATGTGTTGTTTATGTCAATGAGATGTGTGGTTTATGTCAATGAGATGTGTGGTATAGGTCAATGAGATGTGTGGTTTATGTCAATGAGATGTGTAGTTTATGTCAATTAGATGTGTGATTAAGGTCAATGAGATGCGTGGTTTATGTCAATGAGATGTGGGGTATAGGTCAATGAGATGTGTGGTTTATGTCAATGAGATATGTGGTATATGTCAATGAGATGTGTGGTATATTTCAATGAGATGTGTGGTATAGATCAATGTATGGGGGGTATATGTCAATGAACTGTGTGGTATAGATCAATGGGATGTGTAGTTTATGTCAATGAGATGTGTGGTATATGTCAATGAGATGTGTGATATAGATCAATGAGATGTGTGGTATAGATCAATGAGATGTGTGGTTTATGTCAATGAGATGTGTGGTATATGTCAATGAGATGTGTGGTATAGATCAATGAGATGTGTGGTTTATGTCAATGAGATGTGTGGTATATGTCAATGATATGTGTGGTATAGATCAATGGGATGTGTAGTTTATGTCAATGAGATGTGTGGTATTTGTCAATGAGATGTGTGGTATAGATCAATGAGATGTGTGGTATAGATCAATGAGATGTGTGGTTTATTTCAATGAGATGTGTGGTATATGTCAATGAGATGTGTGGTATAGATCAATGAGATGTGTGGTTTATGTCAATGAGATGTGTGGTATATGTCAATGAGATGTGTGGTATAGATCAATGAGATATGTGGTTTGTGTCAATGAGATGTGTGGTATATGTCAATGAGATGTGTGGTATAGATCAATGAGATGTGTGGTTTATGTCAATGAGATGTGTGGTATATGTCAATGAGATGTGTGGTATAGATCAATGCTATGTGTGGTTTATGTCAATGAGATGTGTGGTATAGATCAATGAGATATGTGGTATATGTCAATGAGATGTGTGGTATAGATCAATGAAATGTGCGGTTTATGTCAATGAGATGTGTGGTATAGGGCAATGAGATGTGTGGTATAGGTCAATTAGATTATGGTATGGGTCAATGAGATGTGTGGTATAGGTCAATGAGATGTGTGGTAAAGGTCAATGAGATGTGTGGTATGGGTGAATGAGATGTGTGGTATAAGCCAATGAGATGTGTGGTATAGGTTAATGAGATGTGTGGTATAGGTCAATGAGATTTGTGGTATAGATCAATGAGATGTTTGGTATAGATCAATGAGATGTGTGGTTTATGTCAATGAGATGTGTGGTATGGGTCAATGAGATGTGTGGTATGGGTCAATGAGATGTGTGGTATAGGTCAATGAGATGTGTGGTATATGTCAATGATATGTGTGGTATGGGTCAATGAGATGTGTGGTATAAGTCAATGAGATGTGTGGTATAGGTCAATCAGATGTGTGGTACAGGTCAATGAGATGTGTGGTATATGTCAATGAGATTTGTTTATGGGCGTTTTTGAATAAAAACGTGATTTCTTGTCCCAGCCACTTTTAAAAAAATGTGTTTGATCTTTACAATTAATGTTTTGTGCTGTTAATACATTGAATTAGATTTAACATTTGTAAGCAAAGAAACATACTATTTTTAGAGGGATTAATAAGATATTGATTCCTGAATGGTTCAAAATAACCAAAATGGCATGTCCCTAGACCTCCTGTTCAACATTCATACTCTAAAATATTGTAAAAAAAGGTAGAAATAAATGTTATTTTTACTTAATATAAGTTCTTTAATTATTCAAAAGTATGTTTAGACCCAACATATTTTATTAAACAGTTTTTGACAAAGGATTTTTAATTTTAGAAGGTGTGTCCCTTGACATTCCTGACAAAATGTCCACTACGAAACGAAGTCATTAAATTTTGCTAACAAACAGTTTTGTAAAATCAATGTTTGCAAGAGATATAAACATTAGGGTCTTACAAAAGAAGTGATGCTTTTATAACGGCAGTTAAATTGTTGGCAAAAAAATTTGAGCACATCAAATGGACCAGAGTGATACCGTATTTTTGTTAATGTCCACTACGAAACGGGTCAAATCTCCTTCAGTGTCTGGTTTTAAAATTATGAAAAAAATACCAGTGTACAGCTTGGTACGTGCTTTGATGAATAGAATCATTCTTGTTACTATTGCAGTATAGGGATTGTGGGGAAAAAATAAAACATGTGAATATGTCCACTACGAAACGGTCACCTACGAAACAAGTAAGGGAGAAAAACGTTTCGTAGTGGAAACTACCACTACCATGCAGTCGTTTTTTACTCTTTTTTCAATTATATTCGTGCAAAACAATTAACAAGGGTTAGTTTCATGTAATTTTCATTATGTTTTTATCAACATAGAATAGGGTTGATGTCAACTAAGAAACTTTTTGTCCACTACGAAACGGTTTTGTCAACTACGAAACTCATCAAAATGTCAACTACGTAACATGAGTTGCACCTTCATATGTGAAGTACTGTCTAATCTTTATCGATAAAAAATGGTTCTCCAATTCAGAAAAAAATGAGATCTTTCTAGTATATAAAGTAAAACAAACTGGAATGTCTATAGGAGACATTAAAATGCAATAAGATGTGCATTTAGAAGCAGTTTCGTAGTGGACAAATGTCCCCTACGAAACAGTACACAAATTATGAAAATAATATCATTTTAAAGAGTATTTAAGATTGCACTTTTTATTTACAAACAGGTCTATAATAGAGGTATTCAAAATAACTATTGAAATAAAATTTTAGGCAAGTTGATTTTCCATTTTTTTTAGGTCTGAAATTCACACTTTTATTGAAAAACGCCCTTATATGTCAAAGAAAAGACCAAGGAGTTGTGTGGTATAGGTAAATGAGCCTTTAGGTAAACTTACAAAAAACAAAAAAGTTTTCTAGTGGTAACAATGCAGCCTTCTTCTGTTTATAGACTGGTTCATGCATGAAAACAAAAGTATTGAGAATTTCCTCTTTTTTCAATTACGTACAATGTAAATTCAGACAGCGCTAGCTCGTGCAATAAAATCCATGTATTGTGCGAAGTGAAACATATATTTGTGCTGAATACCAAAACTACAATCAAAGTGCTTGTGAGCACTAAAGTGTAAAGATTACTTTCATTTTGCAATTTTGTGAATTTTTAGATAAAACATTGAATTGTATTTTGCTTAAAATTTGAATTGGAGTTATCTTCCTTTGTTCATGATTGTACATTTGTAGTTGAACTTAATTTTATAACAGATTCATAGACCATGCATTACTTAAAAAAGTGTTTTCTTGACAAGTATGGTAATTCAAATACACATCTTAGTGTAACTTAAATATCAAAGTATAACATATCATCAATAAAATGCATGACATTGACTGGATATGATATAGATAATGATCACTTCACTGCACAATTTTGTTTGAACTGTCAAAGGTAGTGATCAACCTTGGAAGATATAGATAGTAAGTCAGTAACATAGAGTTTTGATTGCATTTCATTCAACCTTTACCCAAAAAACAAAAAGGCAATGGTAACAAAAGGGACTAAATAAAATAGTCACTCATTGTAAAGGTGTGTGGATCTTTATTTTTATTAATTGAAAATTTTCCTTGCATCATTCTATGTCGTTGTTCTATTTTTAACTGCAAAGGGGCTTTTTATCTTCCTATTTCCTTCCATAAACATTACAACTAGTTATACTTGTGTAAAGGATGGAGACAAAATCATTGTAAAGTTATCACGCAAAACTCAAATTATAATAATTTCCGATTTATAAATATGTGTCTATATATGGTAAGAAAGGATATTGGTAATCACTTAACATCATAGTATTAATTACTACATTTAAAATATTTTAACGTTTTTTCCGAGTAATTTGAATGTAAGATTGAATTGCATTGAGGTTTTGTTTTCTTATCAAGAACATTTTCCAGAAAGTATTAAAATAAAAAAAAAGTAATAGATATGAATGTATGTACTAGTAGATTCCCATGAATACAAAAAACCAATGTAATGTTTTACAACAAATTGGAAATCGGATAACCCGCCCCTGTCATCCATTTTTCCAAATAAAATTCCGACCATAAAATTACATAAGTATGGTCATGGTTACAAATATTGTGGCCGTAGTAGAAATTTCCTTCACTATCGATAAGAAGTCTATGTTATATACTCGTGATATTACTGAACTAAGATCCGAGTCTACCATGTAAAATATGGCTCGCCTTTTTTCAACTTTCTATTTAAGCAGCACTCGTGAACAGTGCCACATATGAAATTCCAGGTCTTGGCTAACGAAACCCATGTTATCAAGAGATATTAAGAAGATCGATACTATAAAACACTTTGAATAGTCCAAGATTCCTTTGACATCCGGGGGCTTTTTTAAAACTTGCTGGTGCCATGTCAGCGGAATCTCGGACTACTTTTGAAACGTTTTGATGCTTTAATATTTGTATTGGCATAGCCACATATTAACCATGTAAAAGTCCCTATCTACTTAGTATCCATGGGAAACCCAAAAATATCAATGTTATCAATAACAGACTGCTATACTGATCTTTGTTTTTTTTTGTTATCTGTTGAGGAGTTATAGACTAGAAGTGTAACAATTGCGCAGTAGATGACGATATATGTATGAAGTGTCCTTATTATGTCGAATCTGTTATGAAGACAAAACTATAAAAAGGAATGCAGTCATTTTGGACATTGGTTGTCTGTGCAACATATTTACCAGAAATATATAAAACAGAATGTTGAATTGCTTCAAAATGAAATTTTCAATTCAAGAAAACTGCAAAGATAGAAATATTTAAAAAGGGTTGTTACTCTGTTCAGGAATGGGATAAATGCCAATGAAACAGCAACCCCACAAAAAAAAATAGCCAAGACAACAGACCGTTATAAACTACTAAAAATAATTGAAAGGGTTTGAGGTGGTACCAAACACCTTGATTAAAATTAATTTGGGTAGTTTAATTTTCATGAAATTTTGACAAAATATTTACTTTGACCCTTTGATAAAAATATAAAAACTTCAAATTTATCGGAAAAATTTAATTGGATATATAGCAGTTTGACAAACACTAATTTTGATCATTAAGAAGCTTAATATTTCCTTAACAATAGAATGTGATTAAAACGCTCAGCTGGTTTTACAGAGTTATCTCCCTGTAGTGCTATGTCAACCTTTAAAATCTTCCAGAGTCCATAAAGGTTAAGAATAAATTTTAAAGAAACAATCAAAGATCTGCAATCAACCCCTGGATTTTTATATTTTTTAAGTTTAACTTTAAGTAAAAAAACTCATGACTTACTGTTGGTTGGTATACAGGGAGATAACTCCGGTAGTCTATACATTCCTGAGTTGTTTTTTTCTTTGTTGTTAACTGACTTTGGATTTCTTCATCTGGCATATAAACAGCTAACACGTCACATTTTGCTTTTTTCTCTTCTTCGTTTTCTTTTTGACTTCCCACTACAATATTTGTGTTGTACATCTTTGGTTTCCTGGAAAAAAATATTAATGTATTAACAAATCATTGGTACAACAGACGAGAAATTCAAGGTGTTAGAGCTTAAATTACAGTTTCCTTCAATTGTTCCTTAGCTGCGTGTTGGACTGATAAAATTTGACTTCATTGGACCTTTCTTCTAATCTGATGTAAATTAAATGAATAATTTATAGTTAACTTAAAAAGTTTAAACGCTGGAGATAAAAGACCTTTATTACTGGTCAAACATCATTTGAGTAGATACATACATTTTCACGTCTTTTGAATTAATGTTATTTATAATGCGAAGTTTCATATAAGTACTATAATGTTATATTTCGTCATAAGTATTTATTTATACAAGTCATAAAAACTTCCCTTAACAGTCATGAGCATGTACTTGAACTGAAATACATGTATCCGTTGTACTTAAATACATGTACGCGAAACAAAGTCCATTGATCAGTCAACAATAAAAACCAAAACTAAATTTAGACTTACGTCTTAAGCTTTTCAAACTTTGCGCGACTTCCCGACCGGGCCATGTTTATTCAATTAGTAATAAAATAAATAATTCGCATGTATTTATTCGAATTCTATGTATCGGTTTTTTCTTTGATGTTTTTTTTAATTTTTTGAAATAATTCAATTATTTGATTGAGTGACAGATTGCCTTTGGTGACACGATTATCTCCGAGCAATTATGACACCTTCTAAAGTTAATAGATCAAAGGTTTGTTGTGATTAATACAATTAGTGCGATCGAAGACATATTAGGTGCAATTTGTTGTCTGAAAAACTATTTCAGTAACAATTCGAAATCTGCCAATACAGACAGAAACTGAATTAACTCAAAATAAATGTCTCGATTTAAACGGTTGGCGAAGATGAAAGTCATTTCTTATCCACCTGTGATAACCCTGAGATTACTATAATAATTATAGCACATAATACTATAACAGAGACATGGGTCTGACTATAGTAATCCCTGGGCATAACATAAATGTTACTTTCACACATACATGTGTTAGTATTTGTATATGAAACTGTCGTTGTAATAATTCATTCATTGAAAAATTGTTTGACTCGCTTTAACAATTATAGATATCATCTAGAATAATATACGAGTCACACAGATAAGATTTATGAAAATTTTCACAGATCTATTTATAATTTGAGTAGTTTGGTCGATTTCAACACAATACGACTTCACAGATAGTTTAACATTTTGGGTTTTTACATACATATAATATATTCTATTTTAAACTAAAAAAAAAGGAATTGTGTTCACTACAAAAAAAAAAAAAAAATGAAATCAATAAACTGAAAAAAATGTTTAAATACTTTTTAGTTTATTGATTTGATTTATCAATTCATGTTGTAATGAACACAATCTGTTTTCTTTTAATTTAAAAAAAATATGAATGAATTAAAATCGATAGATTCCTGGCCTATGTATCGTATTGTTAGATGGTGGTCCGTCTCACTGTATACCCTAAATGATCCTAAATCTCCTTCAATTGATGAATAAAACGGGACTATAATGATTATCTTTTCACATTTTCTAAATTCTTCTATAAAAAAATTCAAATGATTATTTTTAGGATTAAACTGAATTTCATTATAAATGTGAATGTTATCACGAAGAACATTCATTAGTAGTATATGTTCAAAATATAAGCTTAATTAAACCTCAATAACTACGAAATAGGAATATGCAAAGATATAATACATACTGCAAAATCAGAAAAGTATTTCCGTTCTATAGAAACAAACATTTTACTGTCTAGACGACATGACGGATTGATTAAACGGAAACTGCATGTATTGTAAAAGTTTATAATATATATACTGCTGAAACTTTTTCCTTGTCGAAAATAATCCTGTGCCAGAATAACAAGTCTTAAAAAAATGTATCTAACCTTGTTATGAAATATTACTAGATCCGTTGTGTACCTCCAATTTTTGTTAATTAATTCTGAACAAAGTCAAAAGTCTATCTGATGTACAGTGATTGTATCAAGTTGAGTGAAAACCCAATACATATGGAGGCGTTTATAGGTATAGAACCTTTTGGGGACAATTACTAAGTACTAAACCTGCCAAATTAAGTAATAAAACAATTATATATTAGTTACAATATGCCAAACTTATCTACCAATCGTAAATATCAATCATAATTAGGAAATTATCAAGCTTCACTAGTTTATCTTTATTCCGTGTTAATTTATAGACAACATTGCGTGACACTACTATACTTGACAAAAATGATCATATTTGAAACACTGTGGATTTTTAGATGATTGTCATTCGTGTATTTTTATAAACGGTAAATAAGTACGGATGATATACTTATATATGAACAATTATAGTTTCCCCTTATTTATCTAGTTCATTCTATCAGAGACATATAATACAATTGTATTACACGTCTCTGATTCTATTCCAGGATAAATACGATTTTTGGTTCAGGACTTTTCTCTCTCTCTCTCTCTTTAGAAGACTAGCTTATTTATCTAACTCTGATAATCAAAATAAAATGTAAAGCTATTTCCATAGTCTCTTCTGAGTTTTTTTCTCAAAGTAAAATAATGTATAGGTATAGGGGGAGGGTTGAGATCTCATAAACATGTTTAACCCCGCCGCATTTTTGCGCCTGTCCCAAGTCAGGAGCCTCTAGCCTTTGTTAGTCTTGAATTATTTTTAATTTTAGTTTCTTGTGTACAATTTGGAGTTTAGTATGGCGTTCATTATCACTGAACTAGCATATATATTTGTTTAGGGGCCAGGTGAAGGACGCCTCCGGGTGCGGGAATTTCTCGCTGCATTGAAGACCTGTTGGTGACCTTCTGCTGTTGTCTGTTCTATGGTCGGGTTGTTGTCTCTTTGACACATTCCCCATTTCCATTCTCAATTTTATACATAGCGACAACATAGATAAGTACCTTTTATTGATAGTTCTGCACTAACTGATTATCATTATCATTATCAAAATACATATATATGTACATTTACTCGTATTCATGTAAATTTTAACATTATATTCAGATCAATGATAATTTTGTTGAGATACGCACCTGCCGAAATGCCTTTGTTACACAGCATACGAATTTGAAACATTTAAACTTTATGAACCTAAAAATCTTTATTCACACTTTCAAGTAAACAAAGCATTTTAAAATCACAAGTTTTATCTTATTCAAATGTAGTAACTTTCAAGAATATTTTTCTAATGTCGTTTCCTTTGTCTTGAATATTTGACAAATTTTCAAGGTATTTCTATTTTAATATTCATATTTAGTACATTTGATATAAATACGTAATAAAGATCATAATTATAACCGGTAGAAGAGTAATAAATTTATTTTAATTTAAAAAATTTTAAAAATGTTATAAAAGGAGATAAATACCTTTAAGTTTGTAGTTTCAATGCTGTTCCACATTTACAATTACATTTTCTTGTTGAATTTCTTTGTGATAAAATCTCCACGCGATATCTATTATCCTCTGTCTTCTTTTTGTATTTACTAGGTAAATCCTGATGACGTACAAACTATGTTTTTCAGGTTTATTTTTAGCAACAAAACATGGGATTGTCCAATGAAAAGTTTATTGGGAATTACGCATATTTAACATACCTACTACACCACCCAATCACTATGACAGGAAACTTCCGTAACTTTAATCTATGTAACTGTTGTGTGTACATGAATCGAGACATTTTAATCCTTTACGTTTAAAAGGGATGATTCTTATATAGTATATATAATATTGTATAATACATTTGTTTTTCCACGATTAGCCGTTTGATTCTTATACTGTTTTCAATAGAACGATTTCTTAAACTCCAATTTTCACTACATCTGCATGTTGCAATATAAGTTTAATGAGGTCTCAGAATGAGGTATCATGGTCAACATGGAAATTATACCTACTTATTTATCAATCAGAACATTAACTTGGTAAAAATCATTATTCAAGGTCAAAAACTCCCTTACGTAATTTTCTAACAATTTTGTTAAAATAGACAGTAGATAGATCTCGACATTCTGAATTTTTTTTATTACGATGACAAGTTTTCTCTATCTACACGTATGACAGTTTTAAAAAATACTTGCATTTAACGCTATATCTTTAAGGGTGACGGTCACGTTTGATGTCATTTAAAATCATTCGACAAATCTTCAGGATGATTGTGGACTAAATAGGACCAGTAGTTTCAGATGAGAAGAATTTTGTGAAAACTAAACGGACGCCAGACGACGACGACAACGAACAGCAACAGACGAAAGACGCCAAGTGACGGCAATAGCTCACAATGGCCCATCTACAAGATGAGCTCAAAACAAAACATTTAAGTAACACTTAATCATGCTTATCACGAATTTCATGAGATGCATAAATCCGTAAAAGCCGCATTGCGGGTATATGCCATTCAATCATAATTAACATAAACACAAAATATGTGCTTAGTACAAACACAAACACCTGTTTATAGTAAACAATCATTTGACTGTTAGATTATCATTGATCATCTCAACGAGATTGATTTTCTCGCTTGAGCCGTAACGGCGAAAGTGAGAAAAGCAGTCGAGTTGAGATGACCAATGGTAATCTGTTTATCGCTATTTTACCTATGACGACGTTGTTAATTTCATTGACAACGGCCACGTGCGCCCTTAGTTTCTAGCGATAATTTTTCATATCACTCTACTAGTACTGTGCTGAGAAAGGAAATTATCAGTCAGTAAGATCAAAGGAAAATTTCGTAAAATAGTGATAATACATCATTATTTGAGATCTGTTTTTTTTTTCTTCCACTACATTGTTTATCTAGTTGGTTATAGTTAGAGTAGATTGTTTTGATGTAATATAATGCTAAGTTCTAGATTGTAATTTGCTGAATCTGTTTTCTCAGTGCTTGAATTAAAGACTTGTAGGCTAGAATACGGTTTGAGCGAATTTAGAATTGAACTTTTCAGATGAAATGCAATCGTGATAAGAATGACAGAGTCTTATGTTAAATCTCTGGTTGGTCAGCAATAATTAACATGTAAATAAACTTATCATAAATATATGCCAGGCTTAAAAATTTTGTTGGACGCGCGTTACGTCCACAAAACTCATCAGTGACGCTCGAATAAAAAAAGTAAAAAAGTCAGATAAAAGTTTAAGAGCATTGAGGACCCAAATTCCGAAAGGTTTTGCTAAATACAGATAAGGTAATCCCTTCATGTGGTAGAAAATCCTTAGTTTTGAATAATATTAAAATTATTTTAGAACTGCTGTAAAGGCAATCGATTGAAATAATCATGTATTGTGAAATAAACATCACACACAACCAAATATGTTTCATTAAAGAAAGCTACACTCTAACCAAGGCGGTTAAATTCCAAAGTAAATTGAATTCCAATTGTCTCCCCTTGTACAGAAAAAATTTCTATATGTCTTTTACTGTCCTAATAGGCCAAGTTCGAATGGAACCCGAGTTCTGACTAGAGTTCCACATAAACGGTAAATAATTTTGAAGAGCAAGGTCTCTAGATTACGGAAAGACAAGGCCTCCCACTCTATATGTTGACTTTAAAATTTGATTGGATTGACGTCATAAAATCCGAGATATCAAGTCGACCTCGAGGAACACTGTCCAAACCCAGGGCTCCTCGAATTCTAATGGCGGGAAAGCTATATCCAATCATAATAGGTGTTATATATTGTTGTGAGATCCGAGCATGTAATGATAATAAATGAACAATATATGAAAATTCACCAGGTTTATTCAAGTGATACAGCAATTATACACAAAGTACAGTAATACTAAACAATCAATGCAATCAATATACAATCAGATAGTTTCCTTGACTTTATAGTATTTCAGTTCGTCAAAAACTGGAAACTATTGTTCAGGTTTTTATTTAATTTTTTTGTTTGTTTTGGGGTTATATGTTTCAATTATGTATAGTCTTGGAGGGTAGAATACACATTTTCAAATGAAGATTGCAATTTTGTATCAAACCTTTTTTGGTTAGGTATATGTGTTTTGTATTTAAGATGCAATTGATCTGTAATGCACACACCTGCTATCATCATTGATTTTGATGAGAGAAAAAAAAAACAATTAAAAATGAGAAAGTGCATAAATTTCAACAGAATTATTACAGACATTACAGAATACTGAGTCTTCTTTCTTCGTAAATATGAATAACAAGATGTGGTATGAGTGCCAATGAGACAACTCCATCCAAGTCACAATGTATAAAAAGTTAACCATTATAGGTCAAAGTACGTCCTTCAACACGGATCCTTGGCTCACACCGAACAGCAAGCTATAAAAGTCCCTAAAATGAGAGGAAAACCAACGGCCTAATCTATAAAAGAAACCAAAAGCGAGAAACACTTATGAACCACACCAGCAAACGACAACCAATGAACAACAGGCTCCTGACTTAGGACAGGTGCATAAAAATGCAGCGGGTTTAAACGTTTTAACGCACCAACCTTCACCCTAACCTGAGACAGTAGTGTAACATTACAACATTAAAAAGAACACACACTATAGAATATCAATTGAAATGGCTTAACTCGATCAAAAATACATTTAAACAAAAACAGGTAATCATACGTTGAGCGAATAAGTTTGATCTATGACCCAATATAAATACAATATTGATAAAAAAGATGGAGGAACAGTGTCAAAAAGACAACTCTAACCTGGGACAAAATGACGTTAAATAAAACAACGTACACAGGTATACTTAAATATAATAATTTTGTTGTTAGGAGTACGAAAGTAAATATTTTAAAATTAATAAATTTGTTGTTCACAGTACGAGTACAGAAGTGAAAATTTATCGTCATATTAAATACTTATAAGTAAACATTGAATTACAGAAATGCATTACAAATTGTGTCAACAGGTCAAATAAACACGTAAGTACGATTTGAGAGTACTCACAGTTACTGAAAGCTAGTTAAAAGCCAAAAACAATTAATAATTAAAAAAAAATCATGCATCAGAGACTAAAATCAATTTAAACACATCCCAGGGATTTAGTGTTTTAACGCCATGGACAATCAAAGAAGATATGACTTGTGCAACGCCAGAAACAAACTACTTTCTTCAGATGCACCATTCAGACAGCACTTTCTTCGGGTTTCACTCTAAGTGGACGTCTGGATGAATGCTTATATCGCCAAACCACCACCTAGGTCACCTTTGGAATATTTATATTGGGAATAGCTCCATAGTTTCAGTATACTAGTATTCTGAGTCCAATGTCCTTGACTTTTTACAGGACCTTGTTTGTACATGAAAAGGCAAAACTATTTTTTAGCAAATCTTGCGTATGCTATAGAAGGTCTAAAATTTAAACTGACCACACGCACTATACACGTACCGACGATACAAGCACGGTGAATGAACGATCCACAATCCATGTACGATGAGCGAAAAGCGTTACACGGAGGATTTAAAAAAAATGAATCCACGATACACGCACGGTGGATGATGAATGTTGAATCCACGATACACGGACGGTGGTTGATGAATGGTGAACCCATGATACACGCAAGGTGAATGATTCATTGACGAATGAACGATGAACGCTTAACACACGATTCAAAAAATCATTTTATTTAGAATTGCATTTTAAATTGACATACAGATGATAATTAAAATGTATAAGGGTATACAAATATTAAATATCGCGCTTTCAGTGTTGATTGGTCGGCAATTTTACTAAACATTCAATGTCATAAATAGATCAATTGTCGTTTGTTTTTTTAGTGTATTTCCAATATCAATGAGTGTTGTCAAATTATAAAACTCATCGATTTTTGTAATTCAATTTAATATTAAATAAGATAAATGATTTATGTATATTTATAACATTTTTATAGTGACAACAGTCGTCAGAGATTTAGCAGTGTTTAGGTCACGATGAGTAGGGAAAGTTTAGCAAGTTGCGTGGTTTTAACAGTAATGTGACTTTATACTGCTTTTTAGAAATCAAGCTGCTGCTCAGAATACATAAAATATGAGCGTCATTTTGATATGTTAGAAGAAGATGCACGAAACTGCGACTTCAAGTCAGGCAAAATTGTGGGTAAAAGGACGGCAATATGATAATTCCGGGGTAGGGCAGGAGGATTTTTAATTTATTTTCATTTGTGTATACAATTGTTTGTTTGTTTTGCATAATATTCATCTCACCCTTTCTTATGAATTTTATTTAATTTCAGCCCTCATCACCCTGCTCCTACAGGGCCAGTGTATTCGATCATGTTCATAATCCCCCCCCCCCCCTTTGCCCTGAAAATTAAATGGTTTTCCTCTAAACTTGGCTTGCACCTGCACAAATCCTGTTCTTTCTTTTTAGAAAAGATTACAGATTGAAACACAAGGTGATATTTTTGTTGAGAAGCCACTGATTTCGTTTCTGATGGTATAAGCTGAAGCATTTATTTTTCTGGTGCGCGAAAATTTCCAAAATATTTCATGGAACCAAATAAAATTCTTTAGAACTATTACACGTGTGCACATCACCAGAAATCAACAACTACTGATCATGCTGAT